AAGAAGAAGTTGACAATGGCCAGACAAAATCCTGTGTTTGAATAGAATTTATGCATCGTGTATGAAGTATATGAATATGCAACGGGCTATTGTTCTTAAGAGTTAATCCTTTGTTAGCAGGGGTCCTTTTTCGGGCTCGTGATGCCCAGAAAAAGGTACCTGGACGTCTGTAACTCTTTGTTTTTATTGTCTCATATTGTCCTAATTCAATTTGTCCAAATTGTTATTACTCTAATTGTGTTACTATTTTTATAACCTTTTTATTACTATTAAACTTTTAAAATTTTAAAAAACAAGTGATTGGCGTTTTTCACATTGATTGATAGCATACTTCAGTACCGAGACCAGAGCTGTGATTGCACATCCTCGGGGGCCTATTTGGGTAAAGGACAGTAAGTCTCCAACTTAGGAGAGTCTCCTTCACTCTGGAGGGATTGTTCTTGGAGTATACAGAGGCAGACTGGCTTTTGAGTAGATTCCCCAAGTGATTCTTTGGTGTGTGGATGGGATGACTGAGCTTGGGGCTTCTTCCTTTTGGCTTTGTTGTGAAGGCTCTTATTTCAGTTTCTTACCCGGTGCTGGCTCTGCCTTGATTGAGCTGTGTGTCTGCAGCCACACTAAAGATGGCATTTCTGAGAGCCCATATGGCATTTAGGCAGCATCCTAAAATCAACCAGTGCGGAAAAGTTACAGTCCAACACATGCACATCAAACATTAGTATATGAAAATGGGGCAAATGTTTTTGTAAGTCTGTTGTTTGCATAAATAGAGAGACCTACCCCATCTGCCTGAAAACCCCAGCAGAAAGGGTAATAACTGTCCAGATACATTAAGTATTCAATGTACATGAATATCTAATTCACTGGTGCCCTCTTCTTCTTGAGTTTTTAGGAAAGATTAGTCCTCCTGCTTACTGCAAGGAACTGGTGTGAGAATTCTTCTGCATGGAATTTACTGTATATCACCATATTAAAGCAAGTAGCAGTTCCAGTGATACACTAGACATTTCATCTTGACATCCATGACTACCACAGCCAGTGAAAAGTGGGTTTTACCAAGGATGTATTTTGTTTGCTGTAGGTGTTGAGTTACTTAGTTGTACCTTATTTTGAATAGTGTTAATCTTATGAAGATTACAGCATGCTGGTGCTCCTGCTGCTTTTTTTCAGGATTTGACCACTACAACCGTTCTTCAGTCAAAACCAGAGCATGTTACTGGGAAGTGCAAAGGATGCTGAGTCTTGACCATTTGTTTGGAGTACCATCAGAGAACTACTGGGGGAG